CTGGGTGTGGTCGTGCTGGGGTGTGGTCGTGCGTGCTGGGGGGGGTGGTCGTGCTGGGGGGTGGTCGTGCTGGGGCGTGATCGTGCTGGGGCATGGTCGTGCTGGGGCGTGGTCGTGCTGGGGTGTGGTCGTGCTGTGGTGAGGTCGTGCTGGGGTGTGGTCGTGCTGGGGGGTGGTCGTGCTGGGGCGTGGTCGTGCTGGGCTGTAGTCGTGCTGTGGTGAGGTCGTGCTAGGGTGTGGTCGTGCTGGGGTGTGGTCTTGCTGGGGTAGGGTCGTGCTGGGGCGTGGTCGTGCTGGGGCGTGGTCGTGCTGGGGCGTGGTCGTGCTGGGGTGTGGTCGTGCTGTGGTGAGGTCGTGCTGGGGTGTGGTCGTGCTGGGGTGTGGTGAGGTCGGGATTTCAAAAACAAGCGTTTCGCTCGAGACATCCTCAAATTTTAATTCGCCGGCCTCAAAAACAAGCGTTTCGCTCGAGACATCCTCAAATTTTAATTCGCCGGCGCTCAAAAACAAGCGTTTCGCTCGAGACATCCTCAAATTTTAATTCTCGGGCTCGTTATTTATCAGGGAAAAATTCGCCGGCCTCCTTCGACCTCGTTATTTATCAGGGAAAAAATTCGCCGGCAATTCGCCGGCCTCCTTCAAGCAGGCACCGGGGGACTATGTTTACATACTAAAAGAGAACCCTGGGCCCATGCCCTTTCCGGGAACAAGCGTTTCGCTCGAGACATCCTCAAATTTTAATTCGCCGGCGCTCAAAAACAAGCGTTTCGCTCGAGACATCCTCAAATTTTAATTCTCGGGCTCGGGGAAAAATTCGCCGGCCTCCTTCGACCTCGTTATTTATCAGGGAAAAAATTCGCCGGCAATTCGCCGGCCTCCTTCAAGCAGGCACCGGGGGACTATGTTTACATACTAAAAGAGAACCCTGGGCCCATGCCCTTTCCGGGAAAAATTCGCCGGCAATTCGCCGGCTCGTTATTTACCAGGGAAAAAATTCGCCGGCAATTCGCCGGCTCGTTATTTATCAGGGAAAAAATTCGCCGGCCTCCTTCAAGCAGGCACCGGGGGACAGGTTTACCTACTAAAAGAGAACCCTGGGCTCAAGCCCTTTCCGGGAAAAATCTGCATAACACGTCAATCCGTCCAGCGTTAGTGCGGTCGTTCTTGTGATCGCACGCCAGGTGGGATCATCGGTCCTTGCGGATCTGCTGCAGAACAACCCAAAAATTGAATCTGGTTTTGGCATATGCCGCTTCCGCTCTGTGCGTAGCCAGCACCATCCATTCTACACATGGTTACAACTCCGTTTCGCTGGGCTGCTGGCTTGGCGAACAGGTTTCAGAATCATCCATCGTCTCTCGGTTTGCATCTCTGCGGTCGTAATCACAGGAAGGGAAGCCAAAACGGGGAAGGGGAAAGAAAGCTAAACCCTCACACACGCACACACACTTTTTGGCGTTGTGACCCTGCGCGCGGCGACGCGCGCAGACGGTCCCGTGGAAGCGAGAGCACGGCCGGGCCGGCTCACGAGGCGGGGGGACCAGGGATCCGCCCATAGGGGATCGAGCAGGTCACTCGCGGGATCGAGCAGGTCACTCGCGGTGGGCCGCGAGAAGGGGGACAAGAGACAAGAGACAAGAGCGCGCGATGTCGGTCCAGCGGGACCGGCCCTATGAGGGCAGCGCGGGGGGGCCGGGGCCCCTCAGAAGACGAGTCGGAGCCGGAGTCGGAGAGATGGACGCTGGACTCGGAAAATTGGGAGCCGGAGTCGGAGAGAAGGGTGCCGGAGTCGGAAACTTGGGAGCCGGCGTCGGAGAGATAGGGGAGAGGGGGAGAGTGGCGGCAAGTGGAGGTGTGCAGCGCAAGAAGCAAGAAGGGTACAGCGCGAAAGTGCAACGGCACTCCGATAGAGGGAGAGAGCAGCAGCCAGGAAGCCCGACCAAGGCAGACGGTGGGATGAAACGAGGAAGGAGCGACAGGACCGTGGCGGGACAGCGGACACTCTCACACACACACACACACATCTTGTGTTAGCGAAGTCGCCCCTCTCTCCGGCACCAGGCACCCACTGGCGCAAGTCCTGGATGCGCACTGCAGAAACGCCACGTGAACGACTTAGACAATGAAGGTCTTCGACCAGCGACTGATGAGGAACAACCCCGATAATATAAGCAACAATTGAAGCACATTGCCCACAAGCATCGTAACTGAAAGATGTGTGCTTATGTGTATGTATATACATATACATACATACATAGACGCATGTATGTTTACCAGCCCAACAAGCTAGTGATTGGTGAAGAGTTGATATGAACCAGGAGGAGGGACGGCGAAGTAAGCCCCAGGCTGCGACAGCAAAAGGCTGTAAAATTAATCGCGGTCAGGACACTCGTAGAGAGCGTGAAACCAACGCAAGCTCGCGTCTGCGTGTCCCCAGTAAGCATAATGGAGCTGAGCTCGTATACCACTGCAGGAAGAAATTGATAAGCACGCAGCCCGAAACCCACCGCAAGCAGACCGCGGGATGATTCTGGGAACCCCCCACATGCGGCGCCGAACCTGCCGCAAACTGTGAAAATCACTGCCACAAGAAATCCGCGTCTGCTGCAAACGTCGCGCGCTTGCGGTGCAGACGAAATCCGTCCCAGACCACCACGGGCAAGCATGCGAACATCTGATACGGCGCCAGCTGGAAGAAAAGGACGCGCTTCGCAGCCCCGGGCGCACAGTCTGCGTTGGGTTTAACGAGCCAGGAAACTCCATGTGGATTCGCGAAGGGCACGCGACGACTCTGCAGCCGCAAGTTGCACGAAACCACCGCAGCGATGCATCCGCGCATAGAGCCGCACCCGAGGGAAACCGAAGCAGGCGAGGAGCTCGCGACTTAAAGTTATAGCCGCGACGGTGAACAATCCGCCATGGCCAAGACGAGTCGCCGCGGCACCACGCCACCTCAGACGAAGTCACGCGCATGGGAGAACAGGCGGCCCTTCCTCCCCTCCCCCAACAGGTGAACGCGGGCCCGCCCACGGAGTAGCATCACGCCGCGAAGGATGCAGGCGCGGTGAAGAAGAGAACTGCCACTTCCCAAGTTCTTGACCACGAAGCCGCGCATCCCACGGCGAGCACACGGGGGCCCCTGGCGGGATGGCCCGCGCGCCCCGCGGACACGATGTCAGAAAGGCAGCTTCCCACGGCGCGGCCACCCGACCACCGCGCCCAGTCGCCAGGCAATGCCCTCTCCTGGCGAAAACCCCGCGGGAGAGGCAGGGGAGGGGGGGGGCGCCCTGGCACTGGCGAGTGCCCGCCCCGCTGCGCTCCCGCCAAAAAACGAGCACACCAGGCGGGAGGGCCCTCCGTCAAGGCGCGCAGGGGCACGCAGCGAAAGACGAAGCATCTCAGGAAACAGCTGCTAGGAGGCCTCAGCAAGAGCGGCTGGAGCTATGAAGCCCGACTAAGAGGGGCCATGAAGCCAGCTGCAGGCCGGATGAAGCCAGGGATAAAGCTAGGCTGAGCGGGATGAAGCCAGACTGAGCGGGACGATGCCAGATTTGGCCGGTTTTCGACCACGGATATACCAGCGCCGATTCTGAATTTAGCCTTCAGGAGTTGCATCCTGAAGTACTTAACAGGCGCCGAGAAGAACGCCGTTGCCAACCGCCTCCCCGCGCGACGGGCCTCTTGCAGCCACGCTGCGGAGGCCGCAGAAATAGGCACCGAGGCATGAAAAATGTGAAATTTGGCAGATTCCCTCCGCTGGCCGCCCTGGCTCCCTTCAGCAAGCGGCATCTACACAGTCGGGCTCTATAGTCGGGCCGCTGAACTAAGGAACGCTACAGGAGGAACGAAGCCCCTTTGGCCCCCAAAGCGCCCAGGTGCAGGAAAAGGGCGAGAAGAACAACCACGGCAGCACCTGAGGAACATCGAGCCCCTTCCGAACTCCATGCGGGCCTTCTCTGAGCGTCTCGGCTGTACACCAACGGCGTGCCAGGACAGGGCCAGATACGGTGGTGGTGTATATCGGGAGCGGCCAAGAGGGGGGTGTCCAAGAAGGGGGGGAGGGTGCAAATCATGACCGGCGGCGTGTGCGCGGCCCAGCGGGGGGGGCCTGGGACGTAATGAAATAAGAAGAGGCGCCGTGAAGTCTGAGGAAAAAAATCCTGGCCCGCGCCGTGAGATCCACCCCGCCCCAGTCGTCACCCCCCTCTCTTCCGCCCCCGAGTTGATAGGTGCCTCCTGCGGGTCGACCCGACGCCTCCCCAAAAATCGGTCCCTCCGGACCCCTCCCACCAGGGTGTGCACCCTGGCCAGCTCTCTCCATGCTGGATCGAGGTCCGACGGCCCCGCGGCCCGAGAGGGGCCTCCAAGAGGCCGAAAAAACAGCCCACAGAAACGGAGCTTCGAAACTCGTGGCAGTCCACCACCAGTGGTGGTATACTGACTACCTACCAGACCACCCCAACCCAACCCGAAAGCCCGCATTTGACCCGAATTTCGGGTTGGGGGGGGTACGGGCTCCACGTGTTTTTGTCGATGTTCCCCGACCCCCCCCCCCACTGGAAATCGAGGGCAAATTGGGGCCTTCGGGTTGGGTTGGGGTGATTTGGTGGGTGGTGGTATACGTCGCGCGCACGCCAACGTGGACTACGGATGGATCGAGGAAAGTGTGCCCCTCGAAACATGGGGCCAATGCCGCCGGTCTTGGCGACGGAGCGCGCCGATATCGCACGGACCCGGGATCCGTCGCCAATGCACGCGCCCTGCTGCTGGCTTCGCGGGCGAGACCAGGTGGGAAGCGCGCAGGCCGTCTCAAAGACAGCGGGGCTTCTCGGAAGCCCTTGCGCCTTCCGAGCTTCCGGCTTCAACAGATCCTCAGAAGGCCGCAGGCCTTCTGAGCCTTCTGAGAAGGCCCGCCCCCTCTGCCTTCCCTCCTGGGTTCGCCGCCGAATGTTTGCGCCTCCTCGAGCACAGGTGCCCTCTGCGGGTCCCCTCTCGCGATCCTTCTTGCTGTCGAACGGGAAGTACACAAAGTCAAAAAGGCCTGCGCTCGGGGCCGGCTGCTTTACTCCACGACGCGGCCGCCCTGTTCTCCCTTGCGTCGGGCCGACACGATTGCGACTGGCCCCCCTCCACCTCATTATCCTCATGCTCCTCCTTTTCTTCCTCATCCCAATCCTCCCCCTCACCAATATCCTCCTCCTCCTCCTCCTCGTCCTCCTCCTCCTCCTCCTTCTCCTCCTCCTCCTATCCCTCGACCGCGGCACGAGGGCGAACGAGTTCAAGCACACTAACCCCAGGAATCCATAATACACCTGACCAGGGCTGAGGAAGGCTATATGTACGTAAATATACAAACACCTATGTATAAATACCCCGCATCTTCATACAGTACTTTTCCATTGCATGCTAAGAGCGTTTGCACTCGTCTGCGGCCATGAAAGTGCGACCATGCCTGTCGGGTGTCTGGTAAGGTTCATGTGGTTGTCTAAGGGTGACCCCTCCCTACAGCCAAAATATTGCGACAGTGAACTTGTACATGGAAGAAGAAATTCATTTTTGGTGCAAACTGCGCCCAAATCTACGCGGGGCGCCTGAGGGGAAGCCCAGGGAAGGACCTATGGAACCCGGAGCCCCCATGCGAAGCCGAAGCGGCTCTTACTCCAAAGCCTCCAGCTGTACCTGCCCGCGTGCGTCTGAGATCGCAGCTCCCAACCCCTCCTTTCTGGCGCTACTCTCGGCAGGGGGCACTCGGAAAGAGGATTGAACGAAGGAGAGTCGACGGCAACGGACGGCGATACCAGTGCCAGGGACAGTCGGGGAGACTGTTTATTGCCAGCCTGGAACCTATCCCTATCCCTATGTTGGGCATCGCCCCATCACGATGGCGATCTTGGGGATCTCCTCCGTTTCTGATGGGTGTACCCCTAAGATTGTCGGGTCGGGCGAAAGGGGGGGATAGCGAAGGGGGGGGGGAGAATCAGCTCACGTAGCTGATTTTCCCGGCGCCTCCCGGCGCCGGGAGGCGCCCATGTATCGTGGAATGGGTCCCTCGCTGAGGCCGAAACCAGCTGCATGCAGCAAATTTCGTAACCCCCTCTTTCCCAATCCCCCCCTTTCGCCCGGCCCGAGATGGTCCTCTCCTCTTCGCGTGCCAGTCTTCGGGATATAGGGATCGGTTCGAGGCTGGCGAGCTTCCTCCGCGGCGGGCTGGGTCCGGCGAGCGCGGTCGGGCCGGCGGGGCGCGCCCACGGCGCAGCAGAAACTGCGGCGGCAGCAGCGAGGGAGGGGGGCGAGACAAAGGAGGAGGCCGCCGCGGAGCGGCCAGAGAGCGCTCGAGGCTCGAAGCGTGCAGAGCCTCCAGTGGCGCGGGGGGGGCCAGGCTCCAGAACTGCGGCGGAGGCAGAGGAGGGGGAGAAGCAAAGGAGGAGGCCGCCGCGGAGCGGCCGGGGAGCGCTCGAAGCATGCAGAGCTTCCAGTGGCGCCGGGGGCCAGAGCTCCAGAGCTCGACGACGACCGTCGGGGACGAACTCGACTGGAGGAAGTCGGCGGCAAGCCATGGCACCACCACGGCCAGGGGCGGTCCCGGACAGGGCCTCCCCAGGGTCGCGCGGAGGCGAGGCCCGTGGCCGCCCACAGGAGGAGCGCAGGAGGCTCCAGGCCAGCCCAGTGTGGCCAGATGAACCACCCCAGGGGGGACCCAGAGGAGGAGGACGCTTCAAATGATCAACTGTTCGAGAGTGTAAACCGATTGCGCCCACCGCTGCCTGGGTCTCCCTCTGCGCCGGTGGAGAGCCCACAAGCCTCCGAAAGCCCCCGAAAGCCTCCAAGACGCCGCAAGACAGCCCCAAGGGGGGCTCCAAGTGCCACTCCCCCCTCCCAAGGCATCTCCCAAGAGGCCAAAATCCTTCAAAACCTTAGAGGAAGTCAAGACTGCTGGGTCTTTCGTTTTTAGCTATCGATTGGTCCTGGAGCTTCAGGATGGCCCCAAGAGGGCCCTAGAGAGTCCCGCGACGGGCCCAAGACGACCTCACGACGGCTCCAAGAGCGCCCTAAACACTTCCAAGAGCGGCCCAAGAGGGCCCCGAGAGGATACTTGGGAGCCTCCGAGGGGGCGAGGGGAATTCCACCAGCCTTTTAGGGCATAGGTGGTCTAGGGTGTTTTGTTTTCTATCTGCCCCTCGTCCCTTTCGGGGAGAGGTTTACCCCTCCCTCAGACCCCCTCCTCTGGACCTGGACGGGGGGGCCCGCGAGGCGTTGGAGCGTCCAGGATGGCCCAAGATGGCTCCAAGAGCGCCTCGGAGAGCCCAAGATGAGCTCCAAGATGGTCTAAGTTATCCCAAGATGCTTCAACATGGCTCCCAAGATGCTCCACCAGGCCCCAAGACCGCTCCAAGAAGGCTCCAAGTGGCCAAACCGAAGAGGCCGAAATCCTTCCAAAACCTAAAGAGAATCAATGTGATGTGCTTTCTCGCCTTTTCGCGTCCGATGGCCATCCGATGCCTCAAGATGGCTCCAAGACGGCCCGAGAGGGCTCCAAGAGAGGCTCAAGAGAGCCCCGAGACGGCCCCAAGAGCGCCCAAGAGCACTCCAAGAGCGACCCAAGAGCGCCCCAAGAGGCGACGTTTGGGGCTTCCGAGGGGCAACGCGATCGATGTCCTCCAAGATGGCCCCCAGAGCGCCTCAAGAGGGCCCCAAGAGGCGCCCAGGAGGCCCCGAGAGGCCCAATACGGCCCCAAGAGCGCCCAATAATGTCCCAAGAGCGCTCCAAGAGGGACCCTTCCTCTGTGTGCTGCCCACTTCCCTGATCGAGGCAACTCCTCTGGGCATCGTCTCTGCATGGGCTGGCGGGGTTACGCGAAGAATCTAGAAATTCTGACACCCCCATTCCGTTGAATTATTGGGTCCCGACGACCCCGAGAGACGTCCCAGACCAGCCCAACGGGACCCAAGAGAGGCCCGAGATGGCCCTCAAAGGCCTCCACACAGTTCCCCGAAAGGTCCCAGGAGAGCCCCGAACGCTGCAGGAGACGCCTCAGACAGTCCCAGCGGACCCTGTGAGACGCCCAAGAGGGTTTCAGAGGGCTCCCAAGGGGGCCCCAAAGATCTCCAAGAGAGCCCCAAGAGGAAACCCAGTCCGCAGTGGTAATCCAATCTGCAGTGGAAACCTGTTCGGAAAAGGCATTGGCAACGAGGGTCACATCCAGGGCCGCATGCAACCTCCCACTCCCCCTCCCCCTCCCCCTCCTCCTCCTCCTCCTCCTCCTCCTCCTCCTCCTCCCTCCTCCTCCTCATGTTCCTCCTCCTCCTCCTCATGTTCCTGTCCTCCTCCTCCTCCTCCTCCTCCTCCTCCTCCTCCTCATCATCATCATCACCATCACCATCACCATCACCATCACCATCACCATCATCATCACCATCATCATCATCATCATCATCATCATCATCATCATCATCATCATCATCATCATCATCATCATCATCATCATCATCAGCATCACATCATCATCATCATCATCATCATCATCATCATCATCATCATCATCATCATCATCATCATCAGCATCATCCATCATCATCATCATCATCATCATCATCATCATCATCATCATCATCATCATCATCATCATCTCATCATCATCATCATCACATCATCATCATCATCATCATCATCATCATCATCATCATCATCATCATCATCATCATCATCATCATCATCATCATCATCATCATCATCATCATCATCGTATTGCTTCTTCGTGGTATTATTCGTATCAGTAGTATCATCATTCGGATCCTCTTGAGTGTTCATACGATGTGTAACAGTATTAGTGGTAGCAGTATTAGTGTCCGTGTCAGTATACATAATCACCGTGTTACTAATAGTATTGGTATTGACACTGTGATGAGTCGCTTTCGTAGCGATGATATATGTATTGGTATCCGTATTGTCATTAGTCGCCTTATTATTGATAGTGGTATTGCTCGTAGCATTACGGGGGTAATAGTAGTCGCGCTACTCTTCGTATGTAAAGTAACAAATATTCTAGTCGTATTGGTGTTCGTGTTCAGAGTCGTCTTCTTATGACTATTAGTCGTAATAGTAATGGTAGTATTCGGCTAGGTGTTCGTCTTGTTCTCCGTATTCGTGTTACTATTAGTAATATGTGATTCGTGGTACTCGTATGGTTCGTGATAGTCTTATGCGTACCCGTAGTATCCGTATTACTATGATTTCCCTCGTATGATTAAACGTGTGTTTATTGTTGGTAGTATAGCTCACCTTGCTGTTCCTCCTCCTCCTCCTCCTCCTCCTCCTCCTCCTCCTCCTCCTCCTCCGCCCCGTCCGCCCCCCCCCCCCATCCCGCCTCCTCCTCCTCCTCCTCCTCCTCCTCCTCCTCCTCCTCCTCCTCCTCCTCCCCCGCCTCCTCCTCCTCCTCCTCCGCCTCCTCCCCCTCCTCGTCTTCCCCCCTCCTCCTCAGCGTCCGCTTCTTCCTCCGCCTCCTCCTCCTCATCCTCATCCTCCTCCTCCTCCTATTCCTTCTCTTCATCATCATCATCATCATCATCATCATCATCATCATCATCATCATCATCATCATCATCATCATCATCATCATCATCATCATCATCATCATCAGCATCATACTCCTCCGCCTCCTCCTCCTTCTCCTACTCCTCCTCATCAGCATCAGCATCAGCATCAGCATCAGCATCAACATCAGCAGCAGCAGCATCATCATCATCATCATTATCATCATCAGCATCACCACCATCATCATCATCATCATCATCATCATCATCAGCATCATCATCATCATCATCATCATCATCATCATCATCATCATCATCATCATCATCATCAGCATCATCATCATCATCATCATCATCATCATCATCATTCGTCCTCATCATCATCAGCATCATCATCAAAATCAGCATCATCGTCATCAGCATCAGCATCAGCAGCATCATCAGCATCATCATCCTCATCCTCATCATCATCAGCATCATCATCATCACCCCCCTCCCCCATCCTCCTCAGCTCTCTCCTCCGTCTCCGCCTCCTCCTCCTCCTCAGCATCCTCCCCCTCCTCATCGTTCTCCTCCTCCTCCTCCTTCTCCGCATTCTCCTCGTCATCTTCTTCCTCCTCCTCCTCATCCTCATCATCATCAGCATCATCAGCATCGTCATCACCAGCAGCATCAGCATCATCATCATCATCATCAGCAGCAGCAGCAGCATCAGCATCATCACCAAAATCATCAGCAGCATCAGCATCATCACCATCAACATCATCATCGTCATCAGCAGCATCATCAGCATCATCATCATCGGCAGCAGCATCAGCATCATCAGCATCGCCATCGTCATCCTCAGCAGCAGCAGCAACAGCATCACCATCACCAGCAACAGCATCGTCAGCATCAGCATCATCAACATCAGCATTATCATCAACAGCATCGTCATCATCAGCAGCATCATCATCAGCATGATCAGTTGCATCATCCTCAGCGTCTGCATCAGCATCGTCGTCATCCTCATCATCATCATCAGCAGCAGCATCATCATCGTCATCATCAGCATCATCGGCATCCTCAGCATCACCATCAGCATCGTCAGAAGCATCATCATCAGCAACAGCATCATTATTATCGCCATCACCATCATCATCATCAGCATCATCATCATCATCATCATCATCATCATCATCATCATCATCAGCATCATCGTCATTATCAGCATCATCGTCATTATCAGCATCATCATCATCATCATCAGCAACAGCATCATCAGCATCATCATCATCATCATCATCATCATCATCATCATCATCATCATCATCCTCACTATCATCATCACCATCATCAGCATCATCATCATATTCAGCATCATCATCAGCATCCCCCCGTCCACCTCCCCCTCCCCGTCCCCCTCCCCCCCCCCTTCCCCCTACTCATCTTCGTCGTATTCGGATTCGTCGGATATTCAGTTTCTTCCTGCTCCTCCTCATCAACATCCTCCTCACCATCATCCTCATCCTCCTGCTCAACTCCCTCCTCCTTCTCCTCCTCCGCCGCTGCCCCCGTCCTCCACCTCCTCATCCTCCTCCTCCTCCTCCTCCTCTTCATGCTCCTCCTCCTCCTCCTCTGCATCCTCCTCCTCATCCGCATCTTCATCCTCATCATAATCCTCCTCCGCCTCCTCCTCCTCCGCCTCCGCATCCGTTTCCGCCTCCGTCTCATCCTTCTCCTCCTCCTTCTCCTCCTCCGCCTCCTCCTCCTCCTCCGCCTCCCCCTCCGCCTCCGCCTCCGCTTCCACCTCCGCCGCCGCATCCTCCTTTTCGTGAGCCGCCTCCTCCTCTTCCTCCTCAGCCTCCTTCTCCTCCTCCTCGTCCTCATCCTCATCCTCATCGTGTTCCTCCTCCTCCTCCTCCTCCTCCTCATCCTCCGTCTCCTCCTCCTCATCCTCCTCCTCCTCATCCTCCTCCTCCGTCTCCGCATCCGCCTCTTCCTCCTCTTCGTCGTTCTCCTCCTCCTCCTCCTCCTCCTCCCTCCTCCTCCCTCCTCCTCCATCCTCCTCCCCCTTACCTCCTCCTCCTCCTCATCCTCCTCCTCCTCCCTCCGCCTCCGCCTCCGCCTCCGCTTCCGCCTCCGCCTCCGCCTCCGCCTCTTCATCCTCATCATCCTCCTCCGCCTCCCCCTCCTCATCCTCATCCTCATCATCATCCTCCTTATCCTCCTCCTCCTCCTCCTCCTCGCCCTCCTCATCTTCGCATTCGTCTTAGTATCAGGATTAGCCGTGTCAGTATTAGTAGTAGTATGCTCCGTCGTCGTCTCTCATCCTCCTCCTCCTCCTCCTCCGCCACCGCCACCGCCGCTGCCACCTCATCCGCTTCCAATTCCTTCTCCTCCTTCTCCTCCTCCTCCTCATCCTCCTCTTCCTCCGTATCATCCTCCTCTTTCTCTTCCTCCTCATCCCTCTTCGTTGTCCTCATCTTCCTCCTTATCATCATCCTCCTCCGCATCTCCCTCATCCGCCTCGTCATCCCCCCATCCTCCTCATCATCATCCTCCTCATCATCATCATCATCATCATCATCATCATCATCATCATCATCATCATCATCCTCTCCCCATCTTCCCCCTCCTCCTCCGCATCCTCCTCCTGCTGTTCCTCATCATCTCCCTCCTCATCCCCCTCCTCCTCCTCCACCGCCTCCTCCCCTCTTCCTCCTCCTCCTCCTCCTCCTCCTCCTCTTCCTCCTCCTCATCCTCTCCTCCTCCTCCTCCTCCTCCTCCTCCTCCTCCTCCTCCGCTCCTCCTCATCCTCCTCATCCTCCTGCCCCTCCCCATCCCCCTCCCCCATCCCCCCCCCCTCCCCGTCCCCCATCCCCCCCTCCTCTTCCTCCTCCTCCTCCTCCTCCTCCTCCTCATCTTCCTCCTCATCATCATCATCCTTCTCATGCTCCTCCTCCGCCTCCTACTCCTCCCCCTCCTCCTCCTCCTCCTCCTCCTCCTCTTCCTCCTCATCCTCCTCCTCGTATTCTCGCTATTCGAACTAATCGGATTAGCTATACGATTTGCGTGATTGATTCATAACACTAGTATGTTCATGATGTGGTTTCTTCGTATGATTAGTAGTGTTAGTAGTAGTGTCTACTCATTGGCAGCATTATTATCAGTATCATGAGTGTTCGTATTCGTCGTAGTCGTAGTAGTAGTATTCGTCGTCTTCACATTGTTCTTGTTAGTACGACTAGCATGCGTAGCCGTATTACATGCCTTGTTCGCAATGACATTATTGATAGTATGATTCGGTCTGGTTAAGATTAGTGTCGCAAGTGGTGCTCTTCTTCTTATTCGTAATAGTGTCCTACGAATATGATCATTGGTAGACGTACTACTAGACTCCGTGATCTCCGTCGTAGTAGTCGTCGTAGTCGCCTTATCCATGTTCGTATTCTTACTAACCTTAGTATAAATGTTTCTCGTATGCTTCTCAATAGTATTCGTCGTCTTCCTCTTCGTCGTCATCTGTTGTTTCGTCCTCCTCCTCCTCCTCAGCCTCCTCCTCCTCCTGCTCCCCCTCCTCCTCTTCCTCCTCCTCCTCCTCCTCGCCCTCCTCCTCCTCCATGGTATCTTCTCCCCCTCCGCCTCATGGTCGTCGTCCCCCCCCCCTCGTCCTCTTCCTCCTCCTCATCATCAGCATCATCAGCATCAGCATCATCAGCAGCAGCAGCATCAGCATCAGCAGCATCATCATCATCATCACCATCATCATCATCATCAGCATCATCATCCGCATCATCACATCATCATCAGCATCATCATCACATCATTATCATCATCATCATCATCAGCATCATCATCATCATCATCATCATCATCATCATCATCATCATCATCAGCATCATCAGCATCATCAGCATCATCATCATCAGCATCAGCATCATCATCGTCAGCAGCAGCAAAACCATCATCATCATCATCATCAGCATCATCATCATCAGCAGCAGCAGCATTATCATAATCGACAGTGTCGTCATCAGCGGCAGCATAATCATCGTCATCACCATTATCATCGTCATCGTAATCATCAGCAGCAACAGCATCGTCATGAACAACAGCACCACCATCAGCATCATCAGCAACACCATCATCAGCATCGTCATTGTCACCGTCAGCATCATCGTCATCAGCATCCTCAACAGCATCAGCCTCAGCATCAACATCGTCAGCATGATCATCGGTATCGTTATCATCATCAGCATCATCATCGTCATCATCGTCATCATCGTCATCATCGTAATCCTCAGCATCAGCATCAGCATCACAGCATCATCATTGTCAGCCTCAGCATCATCATCAGCAACAGCAGCATCATCATCACCACCATCATCATCAGCATCATCAGCATCACCACCACCATCAGCAGCATCATCAGCATAATCATCATCAGCATCATCAGAATCATCGTCATCATCATCATCAGCATCAGCATCATCAGCATAATAAGAATCATCATCATCAGCAGCATCATCATCAGCATCATCATTATCATGAGCATCCTCATCATCAGCATCAGCAGCAGCATCATCAGCATCATCATCATACTTAGTCACCAGTATCCTTATCCTCAGCATCATCATCATCCTGATCAGCATCATCATCATCATCGTAATCATCATCAGCATCATCGTCATCAGCGGCATCTTCACAAGCATCAGCATTAACAGCATCATCATCATCAGCAGCATCATCAGCCACATCATAATCACCATCATCACCATCATCACAATCATCATCAGCATCATCATCAGCAGCATCAGCCGTATCATCATCAGCATGAGCATCAGCATCATCAGAATCATCATCACCAGCATCATCATCGTCGTCATCAACATCATCATCAACATCAGCATCATCATCAGCAGCATCAATATCATCAGCATCATCATCGTCAGCAGTAACAGCATCATCAGCAGCAGCATCATCGTCATCTTCATCATCAGCGGCAGCAGCATCATCATCATCATCATCCTCATCATCATCCTTATCATCGAAGCGAAAAGAAAGGACCCTCGAAGCCCCGGCTGTTGAGCTCCTCCAGGAACATCAGCTGGGTGTACTGGCGCGGGAGCTGCCTGGCCCGCCGCACCCCCTCGTCGGGAGGGCGCCCGCTTCCCCTCCAGGGGGGAGCGAGGAGGAACGAAGAGGCAGCGAAGGGGAAGCGAAGGCGAAGGGAGTGAGGAGGAGGAAGGAGGACGAAAGAGGGGGAGAAGAAGAGGGAGGGCGAGGTGGCAGGGGGAGGAGGCAAGAGGAGAAAATGGAGGAAGGGGAGAAGGGGCAAGAAGAAGAAGACAAGGAGGATGAGGAGGAGGAAGACCGGAGGTGAGAGAGGCGTATGCAAGAGGAGGAAGGAGCAACAGAAGTGAGGCCCAGAACGTCCCCCCATCCTCCTCATCCTCCTCTCTTTTTCTATGTCTCTCTCTCTCTCTCTCTCTCTTTCTCTCTTTCTAGATTTCCTTCTCTCTCTCCCTCTCTCTCTCTGTTTCTCTTTCTCTCTCTCTCTCTCTCTCACTCTCTCTCTCTATCTCTTTCTCTCTCTCTCTCTCTCTCTCTCTCTCTCTCTCTCTCTCTACATATATATATATATATATATATATATCAAATAAGTATATCCATCTCTATCTGCATACAAAATGTGCGTGTGTGTGTGTGTGTGTGTCCACCACCGTGCCTCGAGGCACGAGTTGGAGTGTCCTCAGGTCCCTTGACTCAGGTCCCTTGAGCTCTGACACTTGCAGGAGCAAGGGAGCCCGGGCCCCCCCAGACTCGCTGACTCTCCGGAGTGCGCGGCAGACCTCCCCGGGCCTCTCGCGCCCACCCTTCCCCGGGACCAGAGGGCCCCGAGACGGCCCAGGAGTCCAAGAGGCCACCGAGACCGAGGGCTCCGAGACGCCGCAGGGTGGCCGGGCATTCGACATCCCGCCCCGCCGCCGGGCGGCAGGGAAGGAAAGAAACAGCTCGACCCTGCCCGCTGGAACGAACGAACGCTGGAATCGTGCGCGCTCCTCGAGGGAGGCCCTCCTCCTCCTCCTCCTCCTCCTCCTCCTCCTCCTCCTCCTCCTCCTCCTCCTCCTCCTCCTCATCATCATCATCATCATCATCATCATCATCATCATCATCATCATCATCATCATCATCATCATCATCATCATCATCATCATCATCATCATCATCATCATCATCATCATCATCATCATCATCATCATCATCATCATCATCATCATCATCATCATCATCATCATCATCATCATCATCATCATCATCATGATCATCATCATCATCATCATCATCATCATCATCATCATCATCATCATCATCATCATCATCATCATCCTCGAGGAGCGTGATACGTGAGCAGACTCACGCGGAGGCCACCACTCGCGGCTCCCTGCCGCGGGCAAGGGGAGACCCACGACGCACGGGCGCGCAACGCTGCCAGAACAGCCACGCGGGAGCCTGGCACGCCCGACGAGCGTCGGCGCAAGGCCAGGGGCGGGGGGGAGGGCACGGGCGCCCGCGACCGCCGCTGCTGTGGACGCATGACGTGCAAGATGGTCGGACCTGGGACAGAAGAACGTCCTGCAAAGTCGGCGGCGAGCCTGGAGGGGAAGTGAGAAGGGACGGGCCTTCTCAGAAGGCTCGGAAGCCCCCCGGCCTTCTGAAAGTTTTCTGAGCCTTCCCCGAAGACACAAAAAGCCTCTCAGAAGGCCAAAGAGCTTCTGAGAAGTGCCGCTGCCTCCTGAGGAGGCCTTCTCCTTCTCACTGTCCCCCCTCGCTCGCCGCCGAAATACGGTCGGACCTAGGGCAGAAGAGAATCCTTCAAGAGCATGGAACCATCCGCACGCCAAACTGAAGAACATTCGAGGGTACCCTCACCCAGGATGCACAAGAATATCCAGCAAACACGAAGAACATCAGAGTACCCTCCCCGAAACGACCTCGATCTTATACCTCGGTCCGACCGTAGCAATTATTATGAGTACTTGGACAGGAAGCGTGCGCTCCTGGCGACCTCTCCGGGAACGCCCAGGAGGCACGCACACCCGAAGCACCCCACGACCACCCAACCGTCGCACCTGGGGTGCACGAGGCACTCGTGCCAGGCGCAGCACCGCATGCGCGCGCGAGCCGACCGCGGTACCAAACACACACAACCGCTTACAGATACCACTCCACCGATGACTTCGTCGTCGCTCATTGATGCGCAGCTGCACGCCTGTTGAATTGGACATTGGGGGGGAGGAGTTCGGGATCGCGGGATGTTTTGTTGGTGCCGGCAGCGGCGATGGTCAAGAGGCCGTTCGAAGAGATGGACAGCCGCTCACAGGACTCGTAACCAGGACACTTTTGACTGCCGCGGTGCGGCTTCAGAGGCGTCTCTTCGAAGGAGCTCGCCTCCTCGCCGCGCTATATGCAGTCCGCGCCCGAGGAGGAGGCACGGAACGCCATCGTGCGTTCGGATGCCCAGCCAGAACCTGGGCGCGAGGACAGGATCTTCATGCGATCCAGCAGCGTTGGGCTGCTCCTCACCCCCTCACTCCTGGCCTCGAGGTCCTCTCTGGGGCACGGGGCTCGTCAAGCATCCTTCAGTCTGTCGGAGACCGCTGGGAGTTTCGCACGAAATCGTCAGAGCAGGTTAGGATGACGGGTTCAATTCGGAAGACGTGTTCATCTGTAACTACCTGCCTTCTCCCCTCCACCTCCTCCTCCTTCCCCTCCTCCTCGTCCTCGTGATCCTCCTTCCCCTCATTCCTGCTCCTCCTCCTCCTCCTCCTCCTCCTCCTCCTCCTCCTCCTCGTCCTCCTCGTCATCATCATCAGCATCATCATCAGCATCATCAGCATCATCATCATCAGCATCATCATCACCACCACCATCATCATCATCATCAGCAGCAGCATCAGCAGCATCAGCATCATCATCATCATCATCATCATCATCATCATCATCATCATCATCATCATCAGCAGCAGCAGCAGCAGCAGCAGCAGCAGCAGAATCATCACCATCATCCATCAATATGACCACCAGCATCATCAAAATCACAATCACCATCACCAACACCATCGTCATCACATCGCATCCATCAGCAGCATCATCATCTGCATCATCAGCATCATATTTAGATTCACAACTATAGCCCTAATCATCATACGTAATCCTGATAATCGTCCTACTCCTCCTCCTCCTCCTCCTCCTCCTCCTCCTCCTCCTCCTCCTCCTCCTGCTCCTCATCCTCATCCTCGTCCTCATGCTCATCCTCATCATCCTCATCCGCATCCTCATCCTCATCCTCATCCTCATTCATCATCAGCCTCATCATCATCATCCTTGTCCTCCTCCGCCTCCTCCTCCTCCTCATCCATCCCTCCCTCCCTCCCTCCCTCCCTCCTCCTCATCATCATCCTCGTCCTTGGTCTGCTCGTCCTCCTCCTGCTCCTCTTCCTCATCCTGCTGCTGCTCATCCTCCTCCTCCTCCTTCTCCTCCTCATCACACATCATCAGCATCATCAGCAGCAGCGTCATCAGCATCATCATCATAATCGTCATCAGCATCATCATTATCATCAGCATCACCATGATCACCATCATCACCATCATCACCATCAGCATCATCATCATCATCAGCATCAGCATCATCATCATCATCAGCATCAGCATCATCATCATCATGATCAGCATCATCATCAGCAGCAGCATCACTGTATCATCATCGTCATCATCATAATAATCATAATCATCATCAGTATCAAAATATCAACATGAATTCCATCATCTTCACCATAACCATCATACGCATCATCACCATCAGAATCAGCATTATCATCATCCTCAACATACTGTCCATAAACATCGTCATTAAAATCAGCAGCAGCAGCAGCATCCTCATCATCATCAACATCATCAGCAGCATCAGCAGCATCATAATCAGCATGATCAGCATCATCATCATGATCGTAATCAGCATCATCAGCAGCAGCATCATCATCACCATCACCATTACATCATCATCAGCAGCATCATCATCGTCATCATCATCATCATCATCATCATCATCATCATCATCACCATCATCACCATCATCATCATCATCATCATCATCATCATCATCAGCCGCAGCATCATCATCATCATCATCATCATCATCATCATCATCATCATCATCATCCTCATCATCATCAGCAGCAGCAGCAGCAGCAGCAGCAGCATCATCAGCATCATTATCCTCCTCCTCCTCGTCCCTTGAGCTCTTTTTCTTACAAATCCGCCACCGTGCCCTCTAGCCCGTTAGGGGCCTGGTAGAATACCATGTGCTGTGTGGTAGGGCTTCTGCACTTTTCTAAAGACCTACCCCCGCGGGACTCGCCCAGAGGCATGCACCGCCCCCTCTCCACGAGGCCACCACCCTTCGCAAAACACGCCAGGTTCGCGCTCCCGAGGCCCAGATGCCTCCAAGACGGTCCAATGTCACTCCAAGACAGGCCAGTTTGGCCTCAAGACGACCTCCTCAGTCCCTACGGGCATTCTGTTTCACTGCGCGCAGCGCCCCACGCTGAGATACGAGTGCCCAGAGGGCCCGCAATTCAGGCGGGAGCTCCGTTTGGAAGGCACGTGTCCTCCATCCTGCGGACCACAAGGAATGGCACAGGGTGGGTGCCTCAAGTTGGAAAGAGCGTCTTCTACCGCTGTTGGCGGAAAACCGGGGGGAGGAGTCATTGGGGGTTCCCTACCCGTCCCCCCCCCCCCTCCCCCCCCTGAAAACCTCACCCAAGATGACTTCAAGACGGCCCACGAGGCCGTCGCGGCGTCCCACGAAAGCCCCGAGAGCCGTCCCAAGGGCGCCTCGAGAGGCAAGCATCAGTGGTTTCCCACAGGGCGTTCCATGTTGTTCGGGTTCCCGCCTTCTGAAGGGGCCCGATCCACCGTAGCTGGCCTGCTGAAAATTTTCTCCAAGGGAGGGTCGGAAACCAGGGGCCCCCTCCCCCACATGAAAAAACTCCTAAGGGGGGGCCAGAAAACAGGGAACCCCTCCCCCAAAACCCCCCTTCAACCATCCCCCCCCCGCCCCCGGGAAGAAGCTATGGGGTCTGGACCCCCCCCGAGAATTACTACGTAAGGAGCTTCGGACGCAGCCCCCACCCCCCAACCCCCCCGGGAGAATTAGTGGATGGTCTGGAACCCACCCCCCGGGAAAATTATTGGGGGGGTCCGAAACCCCCCCCCTTATCCCACCCAGAAAATTTCCCACCTCCCCAGGGAAATTAGCGGATGGTCTGGGCCCCGGACCCCCCCCCCCCGGGGAAAATTATGGGGGGGGTCCGGATACCCTCCCCCCAGAAAAATCATCGGGGGGGTCGCGGCTTCATCGTTCGTTCGTTCCCTGCCTCCTGCCCGCAGGCCGTGCCACAAGTTGCCTTCGTCCATTGCGTAACTCGCGAGGTGATCAGCGGCAATATCATTCCGATCCCCCTTCATTTTCGTCCCTCACCATTTTTCGTCCCATCCTCCACCCCTCCCCTCCCCGTACCCTCCCCATACATCCCCATCTCCACCCCTGCCTACCCCTGCCTCCCCCACCCCTCTTTGTGCCTTCTCACCCCCCACCCCTCCCCGTGCCTTCCCATCCTCCCCCTGCCTTCCCATGTCCTCCCCAACCCCTCCTCCTCGCCCCCCTCCCCCTCCTCCTCCTCCTCCTCCTCCTCCTCCTCCTCCTCCCCTCTCCTTCCTCCCCCTCCTCCCCTCCTCCTCCTCCTCCTCCCCCTCCTCTCCTCCTCCTCCTCCCCCTCCTCCTCTCCTCCTCCTCCTCCTCCTCCTCCTCCTCCTCCTCCTCCTCCTCTCCTCCTCCTCCTCCTCCTCCTCCTCCTCCTCCCCCTCCTCCTCCTCCCCCCTCCCCTCCTCCCCCCTCCCCCTCCTCCTCCCCCCCTTCCCCACCCGTCCCCGCCCCTCCCCGCGTCCTCCCTCCCCCCGACCGCGCCCCTCCGGATCATGACGGTGACCACGCCGCTGCCCCACTCGGCCACTCTCGGCGGGCCCCGCGGAGGTCGGCAGCTCCGCCTGCCCCGGCGCGAGCACCGCGGCTGAGCGCGAGCGTCAAGAGGAGGAGGAGGAGGAGGAGGAGGAGGAGGAGGAGAGAGGAGGAGGAGGAGGAGGAGGAGGAGGAGGAGGAGGAGGAGGAGGGAGGGAGGGAGGGGAGGGATGGAGGAGGAGGGAGGAGGAGGGAGGAGGAGGAGGAGGAGGAGGAGGAGGGAGGGAGGAGGAGAGGGAGAGGAGGAGGGAGAGGAGGAGGGGGAGGAAGGAGGAGGAGGGAGGAGAGGAGGAGGAGGAGGAGGAGGAGGAGGAGGGAGGGAGGGAGGGAGGGAGGGAGGAGGGAGGAGGGGGGAGGGAGGAGGGAGGAGGAGGAGGAGGAGGAGGCAGCACAGTCGACGTCTTTGGGTGCGTGATGAAGCTCGGGCGTTGCTAGAGGTGCCCCAAGCCCAAGGTGCTCCCAGGAGTTCCAAGGAGGCCCCCACGGCCTCCAGAGCGCCCTCACGAGGACCAGAGGGAACCAGGGGCTTCAAAATTGAACGCAAAGCTGGGGGCACCTTGGGCCAGGAACACCATTAGCAACCCCGAAAAGGTGGTGGTATAAGACGGAGGAACTGGAGCTGGGAGCCACCTCTGGCGAGGCGGCCCACAACACCTCCCTGAGCCGCAGATGAGCGGTGCCTCGAGCGGGAGGCTGCAAGACGGCGGGACCGCAGCACCATCAAACCAACGCGCAACTGGCACAACGACGTGAGACTGAAGACCGCCAGGCAAGCCGGGAACGTCGCACGAGACGTCGCCAAGAGCTCAGACACCACTGGCGGAAGGAGAGAAAGCTGGTAAGGCCACTGCAGGAAGGAGAAAAAGCGGGAAAGGTGGTGGCATGAGATGGCGTAACCGAAGCAGGGAGCCAAAAAAGGACGTGCGCGCCAAGTCATGTGTATGAGCATGCCCCTGACTCGACAGGCCACCCTCCTGTCACGAATGTTCGCGCGCTTCGCTCGACTTGAGCCCACGTGGGCTCGTGTGCGCGTACGTATTTGCTGTGCTCCTGGCGGTAGAGCCATACATCCATGGAAGCTGCACCAGTCTTTAAGCACAGCACCTATCCTTTCGCACGGAGGAGGAAGAAGATGGAGGACGGAGAGGCACAGAGGAGCGCTGAGGATCACGGAGGATGACGGAGTCCGCCGACCCCCGCTTGCCAGGGGTGAAAAGGCGTGCGTGACATTCGGCTGTCCCCCACCCCCATGTCCCCCTCCCCTGGGGTCCAGAATGCCGTTCGAGAAGGGTGGTGTTTGGCGGGGGCACGAGCTCGCCAACGCACCCTGGGGGGGGGGCCTCTGGAGCCTCCAAAAAGCCCCGAGGGGGCCCAGACAGAGCGCCAGGACGTTCGAAGAGGGCGTCGAGACGGCCGCGAATAGCCCCACGACGACCGAAGATGACTTCAAGACGGCCTACAAGGCCCCCAGGACGGCCCAAAAGTGTTCCACGAGGACCGCCGAGAAGACTCCAAGCGGCAAAAATCTTAGCGCACTCGCCTTTCTCGCCCTGGCAGCTTCTCAGACTGCCAAGTGGACCCCCAAGATCGTCCTAAGACAGCCGATGAGGCCCCCAAGAGGGCCCCAAAACAACCCAAGAGGGCCCTGAGACGGCCCCACGGGCCCCCAAGACGGGGCAAGAGAGCCCAAAGAGGGCCCTGAGAGAGCCCAAGATGGAGAATACGAACTGATATTTCAAGCCTTTCCCCCCAGTGTAGCCCCAAGGGCTCCCAAGAGGTCCCCGCGGCGCCCCCAAGAGGCCCCAAGAAGCCTCCAAGACGCCCCCAAGAGCCCTGCCCAAATGCACCCAAGAGCCCTCCAAGAGGCCCCATGGGAGGCATCCCAAGAGGCCCTCACATTCATCCAAGAGGCTCCTGACCCACAGCCCAGGCACGGTGGCGGGTTGGGACGTAGGCCATACGATCCGCCGCCCCCTGTTGATTCATCACAGGAGTGCCTGGCGTGCTAGATCCTCTCGGTTTTAGTTTTGGCTCTTTTCCAAGTTCCGGCGCGCCCCGCCGGGGTCCCGGAAAGGAACGCAATATTGAAAAAAATCCTCCAAGACAGCTCAAGATGGCCCAAGATGGCCTCCAAGATGGTCCAAGATGGCCTCCAAGTTGGCCCAAGATGGTCCAAGACGGCCTCTAAGACGGCCAAAGAGAGTCCAAGACGGCCCAAGGCGGCCCAAGAGGCCCCCCAGAGGCCTCCAAGACAGCCCAACAGGCCTCCAAGAGGTCCTCCAGGAGGGCCCGAAGAGGCCAAAATCCTTGATTTTCTTTTGCATTTTGAAGGATTTTGGCATTCGCTTCTTCTCGGCATTCCGACGGCTGAAGAAGGCCCAAGAGGCCCCTAAGATCACCACAAGATCGCCCAAGAGGGACCCACGACGGTCCAAATGGCCTCCACGACGGCCCCAAGAGGGCCCCAAGACGGCCCAAGAGACCTCCAAGACGCCCAAGATGGCCTCCAAGACGGCACCGAAGCGCCCCAAGAGGACCCCAAGTCGGTTCAGAGAGGCCCCCACGACGGCTCCCGACGGCGTCAGACGGGCCAGGAACGCCATGAGACGGTCAAAGAGGCCCCCGAGAAGCCCCAAAAGGGCCCCACGGTCAAAGAGGCCCCCGAGAAGCCCCAAAAGGGCCCCAAGAGGCCCACAAGAGGCCCCAAGAGAGCCCAAGATAGCCCCAACATGGCCTCCAAGACGATCCCAAGATGCCCCAATCGAGCCCAAGAGTGCCTCGAAAGGCTCCGAAGAGACATCCTCCCCCTTCTCCTTATTCCTCCTTCTCCTCCTCTTCCTCTTCCTCCCCACGTGTTCCCCGAAGGCTTTCCAAATCGGCTCGGGGAACACATGGTCCGATAGCTTGGCCAAGCTCTAGCCCAGCTGTCGGCCACATAGGCGCTCCCACAAGGCCAGGACAGCTCGGAGAAGCTCTAGCCCAACTCTCGGCCACACAGGTGTTTCCAAAAAGGCAGGGGGGCCCAACGATTCGCCACATAAGCACTTCCAAAAGGCAGGGGAGGAAGGTCCCATCCCTCTTCTCATTCTCGTATTCCTCCTCCACGTGTTCCCCGAAAGCTTTCTGCTGGTTCGGGGCACACTTTGCCCCAGTGCTTTAAGCCGTCTTGGCCAGTCCTCCTTCGAACCAACTTCAAACTTGCATGTACAAATCAAATGGCTTTCTGGACGCGGAAGAATGATTCACGGAACCACGGTGAATATCGCCCTTTGCCTCCTTCTCCTTCTCCTCCCTTCATCATCGTCATCTTCCTTCTCTTTTCCGCTGGCTCGTCGTCATCTGTTTCCGATGCACCCGGCACGTAAGATCAAAGGATCAAAGGCTTCAAAACTGCCTCCAGGAGGCCCCCGAGAGACCTCGACGAGATCCCAACGAATATCCAAGAGGCCGCAGATCCATTACCCAGGCACGGTGGCGGGATGGACCGAAGGCCATGAGATCCGCCGCCCCCTGTTGCATGCAAGAGGGGCACCTGGCGTGCCAAATCCTGTCGTTTTTTGGTTTGGGTTCCTTTAGAAAAGAACTCCCCCTGGGGCTCCGGCGCGTCCCGTCGGCCACCTGCAAAGGAACTCAATCCGGAAAAAATCCTCCAAGACAGCTCAAGATGGCCTCCAACATGCCCACGTTGGCCCAAGATGGCCTCCAAGATGGTCCAAGATGGCTTCCAAGTCCGCCCAAGATGGTCCAGGAGGGTCCGAAGAGGCCAAAATCATTGATTTTCTTTTGGTTTTTGAAGGATTGGGGCATTTGCTTCTTCTCGGCATTCCGACGGATCAAAACGGCCCAAGAGGCCCCCAAGATCGCCCAAGAGGCCTCCAAGAGGGCACCTTGATGGCACAAGGGCCCCCAAGACGATCCCAGAGGGCCCCAAGAGGCCTCCAAGACGACCACGATAGCCTCCGAGCTGTCTAAGATGACCCCGAGATGCCTCCAAGACAGCCCAAGATGCATCCAAGACGGCTTAAGATGGTATCAATTATGCCCAGGACGGCCCAAGAGGCCCCCAAGACGGCCTCCAAGACGGCCCAAGAGGCTTCCAAGAGGTCCTCCCTGAGGGCCCGTAGAGGCAAAAATTGTTAATGCTCCTGAAGTTTTAAAAGATGTTGGCATTTGTTTCTTCTCGGCACTCAGACGCCTCAAGACGGCCCAAGAGGCCCCCAGGATCGTGTCAAGATCGCACACGAGGCCTCCGAGGTGGCCCCATGACGGCCCAAGAGGACCCCAAGACGGCCCCAAGAAGCCTCCAAGACGGCCAAGATGGCCTCCAAGACGGCTACGATGGCTTACAGATGCCTCCAAGACGGCCCAAGATGCACCCAAGACAGCCTAAGATGGCCTCAAGATGGCCCAAGACGGCCCAAGAAGCCTCCACGACGGCCCAACACGACCCAAGAGGCCTCCAAGGTCCTCCAGGAGGACCCGAAGAGGCCAAAATCATTGATAGTGGCTTGGGTTTGTGAAGAATTGTGGCATTTGTTTCTTCTCAGCATTCCGACGGCTCAAGAGGGCCCAAGAGGCCCCCAAGATCGCCCCAAGATCGCCCACGAGGCCCCCCAGATGGCCCCGTGACGGCCCAAGAGGCCCCCAAGACGGCCCCAAGAGGGCCCCAAGACGGGCCAAGAGGCCTCCAAGACGCCCAAGATGGCCACCAAGACGGCCCCGAAGCGCCCCAAAAGGGCCCCAAGCAGGTTCAGAGAGGCCCACAAGACAGTTCCCGACGGCGTCAGACGGGCCAGGAACGCCCTAAGACGGCCAAAGAGGCCCCCGAAAAGTCCCAAAAAGGCCCCAAGAGGCCCTCAAGAGGCTCCAAGACAGTCCCAAGATGCCTCCAAGACCGCAGTGACGGCCAAATAAAGCCTTAGAGTAGCCCAAGAGGCTCCCAAGAGGCCTCATCCTCCTTTCTCCTTCTTCCTCCCTCTCCTCTCCTGCCTCCTCCCCCACCGTGTTCCCCGAACGCTTTCCAAACCGA